CCTCTGGGCATTATGCTGCTTAAAGAGGCTTTAGAAAAATGCATGTGAGTTAAAGCAAGGAGTTATGGCTCTATTGGCCCAAACCAAGGAAGCCCCTGCAGCAGTGTAATGTAGGCAGGAGAGATTGTAGGATGCCCAGGGTACTGGGTAGGAAAGGAGAAGATGGGGTAAGTGGAACTTCTCCCACTGCTTTATACTCTGTTCTCTTAGGGAGTGAGATATAGTCCATGGGCAACTAGAAGAATCTCTTTGGGATAATAGATAACCTGTATGTCTATGTCTTCAGAAGCACTGAGGACCAGACCCCTTCATTTTGTTCACTCCAGGCATAGCATCTAGCAGGCCCAGTAGACCAAAGTAAGAAGGTTTAACTACAGAACATTTGACAAGCCTTGGTGGTCAGAGGGCTCAGTGTCAGGGCAAATGACAGTATCTTTTGGGCCTGATACAGCTAAGGTACATTGCTAGGTTATGCTTCACTGTTGCTAGAGCAAACACTGGTTAAACACTTTTTTTTTAAGGCAGTTGGGGATAAGTGACTTGCCCAGGGTCACACAGCTAGTAAGTGTCAAGTGTTTGGTCTGTAGCCAGATTTGAACTCAGGTCCTCCTGACTTCAGGGCCGGTGCTGTATCCACTGCGCCACCTCGCTGCCCCTTAAACATTTTTTAAAGAATGTATTTGTAGTCTGAACTTTGGGCTCAATAGATCTTCTTTCCTTTCTACATTTATTTTCATTTGTACAGCATGTGTTTTCTCTAATTGCACAATGAGCCAGCCCAGCCCATGGAGAATGGTCTTCTCTCATCCTTGGTTCCAGGAGTTGGGGGAGAATAGCAGGAAGGTGTTCTCCCTGGCAAGGAACCTGATGCAAATGCTCAAGTTTGCTGGAGGAAAGGAGTGTATAGACGTGGAGTAAACTTAAGGTGGGAGAATCCTTGTAGGAGATGATAGGGAAGCAAGGGGACAGACACGAGGCGTGAGGAAGATGAAAAAAGAACAAGAGCTCATACCAGGACACAGCCTAGAAACGCTCAGGAAGCCCTGAGAACATTGCACCTGGTCTGACGGTGAGGGAGTCAGGAGGGGAGATCCGAACATGAACAAAAGCCTAACCTAGCAATGACCCTTAGCTCTATCAAGCCTGAAAGACACTGCCATCTCCCCAGATGCTGCCCCCTCTGACCCAAGGGACTTGCCATGTGTCCTGCAGCTAAATCATTTTGTTGCATAGATGTTCTCTCTCCTTAGTGGAATGTAAGTCCCTTGGGAGTAGGGGCTGTCTCACTTTTCTATTTGTATCCCCAGGACTTATCACAATGCGTGGCATATAGGAAGGGATGGGGACTGAACCAGTGATTTCATTTGTTAAATGGAACTCCTGGGAGAGGCAACACCCTCTACCAGTGTAGGTGGGCCCCTTATATGCAATTTATTGTCATAGAGGATACCTAGATCACTGAGAGGTTAAGTGAATTGCCCAGGGTCACACAACCAGTATCTATCAAAGGTGGGACTTGAACTCAGGTAGTCTTGGCTTTGAGACCACTTCTCTATCCAGTATACCATGCTGCTTTTAGTGCTACACGTAGTAAGCACTTCATAAACTTTTATTTCCTTTTTCATTTAACGATACTGCACTCTTGGGTGCTGTACAAGCTATTAAGAGGGCTGGCAGAGTATAGTCCCATTTCTGATGACTTCAGGCCCTCTGCCCACCAGTCACCACATACACCAGTTCCATGACAAGGAATAGTTTTGCCACAGACGGGCACAGAATCCTGTGCTTTCCATCTCTGTCTTACTCCGTGGCAGTGTTTTGGTGAAGACGCTGTAAGCACAATGCTAGCCCGGACCCAGTTACATACGCTCCCTCCTGAGGAGGTTTGGAAAGGAGAAGGTTTGGGAAACCAGCTCCAGGCCAGTCGTTATAAGGAGTTAGTACATTGAAGACCAGTATACATCTATAAGGAATAATGCCATCCCTTTTCCTACCTCAGCTGTGTCCTGATCCAAAGAGCACAAGCTAAACAGTCATCTCCACTTCCTTTCTGAACATCTTCCCCTCACCCTTTGGTTTCCTCAAGAGTGATTTACAAGTACTTTCCTGAGTTTTATTGTGGCAGGCCAGGTCAGCCCCAAACCTTAGGGAGTAGCTATAACAGCTCCCAGGATTCTTGGCTTTGACTCAGCATCTTGGGGTAGATGTTAGCCTTCCTAGAATTGACCCGGGGTTTCAGGGTATAGGTTACAGGATATCCAGAGGGCAACATTCTCCAAGGTGGTGGGGAGGAGAGTCCTTTTGCTTTCACTGAATTCAGTAGCTGCGGTTCCTGTTAGTTGCCAAAGAAAGTTCTCCCTCCCCAACACAAGGGTAGGTACAGTTAGTAAACAGCCTCTCTATACTTACTACATAGACAAGTATTCAGAATCAGAGGTAACTCCTTTGATGAAAGCACAGATGGGAAGAGAAAGGAAGAGGTTGTGGAGACAAATCGGACAACACCACAGTGAGACACAAGGAGAACAACACAAGCACTGAACATTGACTTTCTTGTTCCTGGCTCAGAAAGACGCCTTTTGTATTCTTAGACTCTCATACTCAGGCAAGCTGTGGATTTAAGGAGTAAAGGAGTCCTGGGCAGAAGTGACTTTTTTGAACTGAAACACACCCAGTTCATGGTGGACACTTAAAAAATGTTATTAAAATGTGGAAAGAGTGCTGGACTTGGAGTCAGGGAACCAGGTTCAAGTTCAGCTCTGCTATTTGCTCTCTCTGTGCATTTTAGGAAGTTACTCTCCCACTCTGGGCATCAGTTTCCTTATAGGTAAAGTGGTAATTTCTGAGGTCTTGCCTAGCTTTAATAGTCTGTGATTCTGTGAGCCTTGTTCTTAAGAGGTAGGAACCTTCTAGCACTGCTGGAGATACTTTCCCTAGGGGAATGTGAAGTGCTTATGTTTTGAAAGGAGCACAGTAAAGATGATTAAACCACATTAGTGATGAGTTCTTGGCATAGAAATGGACACCAGCATACATATTATTGCATATAATATAAATGTAAGAAATATTATAAAGTATTTTAAAAATGATTATATTATTTATCCAGGTCCTGTAAAATGGAAAGAGTATTGGCTCTGGAGTCTAAAGGCCTGGGTTCAAATCCTGCCCTTGATGTTTATAACATTGATGATTTTGGGGGAAGCTATTTGACTTTCTTAGGCATTAGTTTCCTCATCTGTAAAATGAGGAGGTTGAACTAGATTTCTTCTGAGGTCCCTTTCTGCTCCAAGTCTATGACCTTATGATTTTATTGTTGTAGAAACTCCCTCCCCAGAAGCAGAAAACAACCCATCTCTCCTATTCATTGTCTTGGATGCTCAAAGAAGTTTATGTAAGCTCATCCTGGTTATACAGGTCCTGAGTCTGCTGTCTCTCCACTGTACCACACTGTAGAAAATCAGTAATTTTATATAATAATTTATAAAATCATAGCTAGCATTTATGTAGCACTTTAAGGTTTACAAAATGCTTTATGAATCTGATCTCATTTGATTCTCACAATGACCCCTAGGAGGGAAGTGCTGTGGTTGTCTCCATTTTACAAATGAGGAAACTGAGGTAGGGAAAATGACTTGCCTGGGATTCTATAGCTTGTAAATATATGAGGCCAAATTTGAACTTAAGTCTTCCTGATTCCAGGCCCAACATTCTATCTCCCCACACCACCTAAATATATGTATCATCATGTTATGTGATTGGCTGCAAAATAATACTATTATACTACTTATTGTAACAACAAAGCCATAGCTTAAAGCTTACTAAGACTTTTGGTATACCCTGTATACATACATACGCAAACACAATACGTATATGTACATACACATATGAATGTGAGCATATATATACATATGTACATATGTAACATACACATATGTTTTTAACAAAACTTTAAAATCTATTATGACATTTAATACTCATAATGACCTTTTATGGTAAGTAGGGCAGGTATTATTATCTCCATTTGACAGATGAAGCAACTGAGGCACAGAGAGGTTAGGGGACTTGCCTAAGGTAATATTAAATATAATTAAATTAGATTATAATTTAATAATTATTATTATATTATAATAAATAAATGCCAGAACTAGAGCCAGAATCCAAGTGCCCTGAATTTTATTTCCATGTTGATTTCTTCAATGATTATTTAGCATGGATGAAAATGACCTTACGTTGACTTAGTTAATATTTGAAATTGAACTGCTATTGTTGGTCAAACATTCATTTGCTCATTATTCTGGAAGGAATTAAAATGGAAGAGGGATTTAATTTACATTTCAGGAAGAAGCTCATAATTGATAAGACATTTAAACTGATTTTCTACATAGTTTGTAGACTTTTCCCTAGAGATCAGGTTAATAATAATATTACATTTATGTTGACTTAGAGGCTTACAAACTGCTTTCTTCACAAAATCCTTTTGAAATAGTCAGCAGAAGTATTATTACCTCCATTTTTATACGAAGGAAAATGGTATTCAGAGAGAGGTTAAGAGATCTGCCCACAGGCACACCACTAGTGTGTATTGGAGCTAGGATTGAAGCATGGGTCTTCTGACTCCAAGACCAGCTCTTTCCACTATATCTTTATTTGAAATGTTTTAGTCCCGTGTGGACAGCCAGAGGTTAGATATTCTTACCTGTACGACTCCATTCCAAACTGCAGTGAAATGTTACTTAGAAGAAGAAACCTTCCTTGGCTTTGATTTTTGTCTTTTTTACAAAATGCATTCTTAATCTATCATGATAGTTTGCAAATAATACAAATATACACTTGGCAATCTGTATTTCAGTTCATTGGGGAAAGGAAGGGGAGGCAGAATATCACTTTTATGTGCTCCTTATCCATTCATATATACATATGTACTGTCTTCCATGCAGGGACTTTCTTTCATCAGTTGAATGCACTTCCCTCTTGGCACACCCCCTTTGAGCTTAACTCACCCTCTGAAGACTTGGATGGGGAAAGGGCAGGACTCTTTGTTTCTGTTTTGGATGGACTCTTCACTGGAGAAGCAGGAGCAGACTTCAAAGGAGAGCTAGGCTCTTCTGCTGTTGTTTCTTTCTCACCTGGGAACAGAGAAAACCACCTGTGAATGATGGTCAGAAGCTGGCAAAAAAGGTCCAGCATCTAGAGAGGGTACAGAAAGCAGAGACAAATAGCCCTTTCTACCCAGACACCTCTTTGTTCTACCAGGCCCAATCAGGAGTTAGCTTTTTCTGTTAGCTCTGGAGAGGCAATTAGAAAGATCATTAGCTGGATTTCGTCTCATGCATCCTTTGTAACCTAGCCAATTGAGTTCCACTGGTAAAATCTATTGCTGCTGGTGTTCGTTCATTCAGTAAACATTTGTCCAATATCCACTGTATTCAGGCAACTTCTGAATGATAGAAGAACTTAAAGATTGCCATAGTGGGTCAGACTAGAAGCAACATGGTATAATGGAATGAGCACTGGATCTGGAATCAGAAGCTCCAGGTTCAAAACTGAATTCTGCTTCTTAGAACCATAGGACTGACAGTTGGGAAGGCCCTTAGAGATTATCTACTCCAGGGCTCAGTACACTATGTGCCTCCGTTCACTTGTTTTTGTATAGTACATGAGCTAAAAATGTTTTTTGCATTTTTTAAATACAATAAAATTTTATTAAAAAATTTTAAAAAAGCATTCTTAGCTTGGAGGTGGTTTGCTGATCCTTTATCTACTCCAACTAATTTTATAGAGGAAGAAACTGAGGCCCAGAGAGAGGTAAAGCAGTTTTCCCAAAACCACACTGGTAATAGTATCACAGCCAATCTGACACCAACCCCAGTGTTCTTTCTAAAACACCATGTTACTTATTATGTGTGTGACTTTGGGCAAGTCATTTTCCTTCTCTGGGCCTTATGTTCCTCCTCTGTGAAACAACTGGTTTGACAAGATGACCACCAAGGTCCTTTGTGAGTTCTAAATCCTATAATCTAATCCAGTCTTCTGTCTCTGAAGTGACCTACTTTATGTGTGAACATAATTACCCTTTATGACATTAATGTCAAAAGGTTATAGAATGATAGAATTTCAGTGTTGGAAGGGGCTTCAGCAGGTCATTATTCTAATCCACACCCTGAAAAGAATCCCTCTGACAACATAACTGATCAGTGACCATCCAACTTTGCTTGAAGACCTCCAGTGACAGGAAACCCACTTCCTTTCTCCTGTAGCAGTCTCTTCCACTATTGGACAGCTCTAATTATTAGAAAGATTTTCCTTGGGTCAAGCCCAAATTCGTCTTTCCACTATTAGCACCTATTGTTCCTTGTGTGGCCAAATAGAAGAAGTCTAATGTTTACCCCCAGACAAACCCAAATGTTATTAACTTCCTGTAATAAACAGGGTAGATCTAGCATTCCTATGTAACCTAAGTGCCAAAACCCACTGGCAAGGGACTCCTTCCTTATTGTTGATCAGTGCCCTGTCCTTGTGTGAGGGATGGAGGTGGAATTGTCAAGAGTAGAATTGAGGAGAACTAGTCGTTTTGTTTCTGCAGTCTCTTGAGTCAATTTAGGCTCATGGCTTCCAGCTTCAAGAGAAAAGATTATGCCAACCCCACTTCAGGCGCTGACGAAAAAGACTGGGAAAAAGTCGACTGAGAGGAGCTAGTAGTCTCCATCTGTCACTATCCCCAGCTTGCTGTTCTAGAGACTTTGGGAAATTTCCCCTTGGGTGAGATTAGAGACTCTCTCTTGACTGAGCTGACTTATCTCACTCCCAAAGGCAGAGCTCCTTCATTCTGTATTGTTCGGCATATATTCTCCTATGTATACTTTCTCTGATTTCTGTTTTGCTATCAATTTGGATAAATGGGTTTCTTTACTATGTGCTTTGTATGTTCACTGTAGAACTAGTATTTGGTGGGAAGTGTTGGATATAAAGCTTAGGGCTTCCTTTCCCTATTAATGTACAGTGATCAGAAGTTTAGGTTGAACCAAAACTATGTCTCTTAAACTAACAATATTTAAGGGAGTAAGTAGATATAATGGGAGCCTCCTCTCTCTGAGGAGAGCCAAGTGGTCTTCCTCTCTTGACAGGAATTAAATCTCCCTTGGAGAAGGGTGAGGGGATAAAAGGCTGCAGAAGTCTATTCTGCCTCCCTTTGAGCCATACCACAAACCCTCCCTCCCCCTATGCTAAATGTGAGAGACAGCTGCTGTTACACATAAATTCATTAAAAAAAACAAACCCCAAAACCTTTAATATGCCTATTTGTATTTTCCACCCTTACCACCTCTCCATATATTTTCTGTCCTCTCTGCCAAGTGCCCAGAACCTCATAGGGCTCAAGTCAGCAAGTCTTTCACCAAGAATCTCCTGCATGCCTACCACTAAACAAGGAGAAGCAGAGCATCTAGGCAGGATCATGGCAGAAGACAGGCCCATGAAACAGCTAGAGAGCATCAGAAGACACTCTAGAGCCAAGGGCTGTAACTGGTTCACTTGATGCTGGCCACACACTGTATTTCGTCTCTCACCTCTGTGTCCCTTGTGCCTGGAGTGCCTGACTCTTTCACTGCAACTTCCTACGGAAAGCTTTCTTGTTCTCTGCAACAATTGGTGCTCTCTCACAACCAGACCCCAAAGCCTGGAACCAGGGAGGTACTTAATAAAATAGCTGATGAACAGAACAAACTATAAATGCCAGAGAGGAGAAGACAGTGTAGTGTGGCTTAGAGTAGTTGTAGAAGTCTTCATGAAGTAGGGTAGACTTAGAAAATCTAAAATCACAGACATGGGAAGGGGCTTCTGAGATCATCTTGTTTAGCTTTTAGCTAGGCAGGAATTCTGTCCACAGTATTTCCCAAAATGAGGAGCTTGAATTAGATGATCTCTAAGGTCATATATACATATACACATATATATACACATACATACACACTTGTGTATATATACGGGTGTGGTCATCTGGCTATAAATTATATGGAAAGTAGTCATTTGTTTTCAACTTGGAGACCTCCAGTGAAAGGGAATTCACTACTACCTCATGAGATAACCTATTCCTCTTTTAGACATCTTTAATTGTTTGAAGCTTTTCCTTATAATTGTCTCCCTGGTTCTTCTACCCATTCCTTTTAGTTCTACCCTCTGGGGGCAAACAGAATAAGTTCATCCCTTTTATGGATGACAGCCCTTCAGATGTGAGACTTGAGCTGGGATTTGGAGGATCTTCAGGGACATGTTAAAGGAACAGCATATTCAAGGTCACAAAATAAATGTCTGAACATGCAAGTTTGGGAGACAGAATGGACAACAGATCAATAGAAAAGTTTTGTTGAGAAGTAGTGGGACATTAGGTCGGACCAATAAAGACTTTTAGAGTATTTATAAGGTGCTTTAAGGTTTTCAAAGTGCTTTACAAATATCATCTTACTTTATCCTTGCAACAACTTTGGTAGATAAGTACTATTATCTACATTTTATAGATAAGGAAACTGAGGCAGGCAGAGGTTAAGTGACTTGTCCAGCTAAATGTCTGAGGCTATATTTGAATTCAGATCTTCCTGACTCTAGGTCTGACATTCTATTTTCTGTATCACCTAGCTATCAGGTTAAGGAGTTTGGCCTTGAAACGAGTGGCAACAGTGAACTATTTTAGATTTTATGAAAGATGTGTTTTAGGAAAATTCATCTGGAATGATTGAGATAAACGGGAAGGGGGAAAAAAATGGAGGCAGTGAGACTGGTTAGGAAGCTAGAATCAGAATAATGGAGTGTCACTGTTGGAAAAGACCCTTAGAGATTATTTATTTGGTTCAACTTCAATCAAAAATATGAATTCTTACTACACCTTCTCTATCAAGTGGTCATTTACATTTCTGTTTGAACAGTTCTTTCAATGGGGATTTGCTACCTAATAAGGCAGAATAATCCCCCTTCAGATTCAATTAATGATTGGGTCTAATTATTGAGAAATTCTTATCCTTAATGAGCTGAAAATTACCTCCCTGCAACTCCCACTCATTGATTCTAGTTTTGCTCTCTGGAGCCAAGCAAGTCTTCACCATGATGAACCTTCAAATATTTGAATATTCCCTCTAAGTCTTATTTTCTATAGGCTAAACATCTCCATTTTTTAAACTGCTTTTGCATGGTGAGGTTTTGCATTTCCTCACTATCTTGATAATTTTCCTCTGGGTATGTTCCAGCTTTTCAATGTTGCTTCTAAAATGGTGCTCAGAAGTAAATTCAACACCAGAGTTGGGATCTGACTAGAGCAAAATACAATGCAATTATCACTTCTCATCATGGATGCTACTTCTTTTGGTGCAACCTAAGATCATATTATTATTTTGCCTGCTGTGTCACTCTGTTGACTCATTGAAACTGAAATATGCTATAACCCCAGGGTTCCTGCCCCCTCATAGGAACTATTGTCTAGCTTCTGCATTACATAATTCATTTTTTGAACCTAAGTGTAGGACTTTACATTTAGTCCTATTAAATTATATCTTACAATATTTGGTTCACTGTTCAGGTCTTTTTGAGGCTCAATTCTGTCATCCTAAATATTAGCTGTCTCTTTCATTTCCCATCTTCTTGTCATCTGCAATTTTTCTAATAGTGAGGAAAAATGAAATAGAGTCCAGGAGGAAGGTTTCATCTTCACAGAGTGTAATTCAATATCAGAGAGATTCCTCTTGGACCTCATTCAAAGGACTCTCATTATTGAAATATATCATAAAGTCCTGGTTATAAAAACTAGTTCCTTCAGGCTTTAAGGCAAGGTCAGGGAGAGAACTCACAGAATATTTGAGCTGGGAGGGATCTTAGAAACCTATACATGAACTGAACAGGGCTGTAGAGATCATCTAATTCAAATCCTCGTGTTATAGATGAAAAGAGTCACTGAAGGGGTAAGTAGTCACACAGCTAGTACGTAGCACAGCCAAGACGAGGACTCACTTATCTTGGACTCTCACTCAGGATGGCCTTTCTCTCTCCACCATACCATACTGCCTTTCTCCTATTCCAAAGAATTGTGGACTGCAGTTCACTTTATACTGACCTTGCAGGCTTTCCTTCAGTCAAACCTCTC